CCCTAAACCTTACACCTAAAACCCTAAACCTCAAACCTAAAACCCTAAACCTTAAACCTAAAACCCTAAACCCCTAAACCCTACGTAAACCTTAAACCCTAAACCTGAAACCTTAAATCCTAAACCCTAGACCGTAAACCTTCCTGCAAGGTTTCAGCTTCAGAGCACCAGGGCTCTACCTTGCCGGCATGTGAGCTATAGTCCAAACTCCATAAAAGGCGGGTTATATAGGGGATTATCTAGGGAACTACTATATAGGGATAATGGAAAAGAGAATGGAAACTACAGGGATTATGGGGATTATATGGGATCTAGGGTTTAGGGTTTAGGATTTAGGGTTTAGGGTATAAAGGGGATGATTTAAGGGACTACCATAGGACTTATTCAGGGGGATGCTAGGAGTTTAGACTATAGCTCATGCGCCTTAAGTCTTGCATCTTGGAGTGCGGAAGCTTGAGATTTGTGTTTTTGCATTCAGCATCTCAGAAAAGGAAGCTATGCCTTTGAGATGTAACCGCTAGCGGCCATTTCCTCAGGACGGCGCTGGAATCCGACTTCAAGGACACAGCATGACGGTGTTCTCCTGATCGCATGCCCTTGTTCAGAACGACGTATGTTCAATATTGATGACTTCATCGTATCCTTCGCGTTTGGTTCTTCCCCATCTTGTCACTACAATCATCACGCATCTTGCTAGTGGTCTCATTACTACGTATCCTAAAGCTAGGGGGACCCAATATAGATTCCAGTGTACTATTTATTATCCATCTTACAGGGATCCCCAAAAAGGTACCCCTAGTCTTGTGAAACCTAAATCCTCCCCTACATATCCCCTATAACCCCCTTTTAAAGGTACCCTTAACTTTGGGAACAACCTATATCTCGTTGCTATTGTGGTCATGGTGTGTATTGTTGCCATCCTAGCTTCCCAGTAAGGCGGATCCCTTACATGCTCAAGGGTTTAGGGTTAGGGTTTAGGGTTTAGGGTTCAGGGTTTAGGGTTTAGGGGACCACCAAAATGAACCTCTGCTTTTTGAGTAAGCCGCCATATGATCCCTGCTTCCATTTCATCTTGAATTTTTTTGTACATTTGATTCTCCACTGCCGGGGGTCATATCCCTAAAGCCGACAGCTAAAATTCCAAACCCTACACCCTAAACCCTACACCACAATCCCTAAATCCTAAACCCTAATCCCGAATCCCCACCGCCCAATCCCTAAACCTTAAATCAGTATATCCCTGTATATGTCTTCTTGGACCTGACCTCACATGGCTAAGCCATGAACCTGAAACTCTGATGAGTGGATGGGATCCTAGAGGGCCTCCTTGGGTTAAGGGCTTGAGGGTTGAGGGTTCAGGGTTCAGGGTTTCCGGTTGAGGGTTTAGGGTTTAGGGTGGAGAATTGAGGGTTTAGGGTGGAAGGTTGAAGGATTAGGTTGAGGGTTTATTGTGGTGGGCTCAGGGTTGAGGGTTTAGGATTTAGGGTTTAGGGTTTAGGGCAGCAAGAGGATGAGGGAAGCCTCCCAAACAAGGGATCTTAAAGCGAACAAACCGCTCCAAAACTAGCCCCTAAAACTCGGTTTAGCACCATTTAAGTCCCAAACTGTAATCCCATGAGCTGCGTGCCTGATAGAACCCCCTGTAGTACAGAACTCCAGTTTCCATTTCATGTCCCATTGTCTCTTACATTTGATTCTCCATTTGGGGTAAAATTCCTGTCTATAACCCTAAACCCTAAGTAATGTAGTAGATTTAGCTAATTTTACATGACCCTTTGAGCCCTGCTGGAAGCAGGAGATCGTCCTGGTGGGAAGCATGGCATTGGCACTCGAGACTCCGGGGAGCGACGTGGACCTCGTGTGCCTGCCTGAGATCTTAAACCCTAAACCCTAAACCTTAGACCTTGAACCCTTCACCCCTAAGCCCTAATCCCTTATTTCAGGGTCCTGAATGATAGGGGACCTTGTTGTTCCACAATTGCCTTTCTGGGAGCATGATCAGCTACCAGGTCTCAGGGTCTTACGAGTTTCTGAGCCGTCTCTTCCCCATACCTTCTTGGAGGGGGCGTCTCATTCAAAAGGGTTGTTGTTTTTGAGCAACTTATTTTGCGTTACTATATTGGGGAACCGTATTCATGACTGTATATACCCATTATGATAATTTCATTTGAACTTGCAAGCAACCCAGTTAGGAACAGATCCAAGACGATGTTCACTGAGCTGTGCTGATTGAAGCTAAGCGTTTGCAAGCCCCTGGGATGGGGTTTTAGGGTTTAGGGTTTAGGGTTTAGGGTTTAGGGTCCCTAATTCTAGACGCAAAACCCCTAGCCCTGGTGCAAATTGCACAAGGGTCCAGGGGTGTTCTGGTTAACTTTCAATTGTGTGGCGAGTTGCGAAGAAGCATGTGGCTACCCAAACTTGAGCAGGGTTTTTGGAGAGAGTTGGCAAGGACCAGTGCATTCTTGCAGGCGTCAACGCTCTCTGGTTAAAAAAACCTGAACCTTAAACCCTAAACGCTAAATAGTAGTTTCCATTTTTTGCATTATCCCAATATGACCCCAAGATATACCCTATACTCCTTATATAACCCATTGTAGTAGTTTCCATTTTCTTTTCCACTATCCCAATATAACCTCCCAATTTGAAGAAAGCAATGCCTTTCAGTGTTTGCGCCATGATGTCAACTTCTCCTTCTCAGGTGCAACACCCACTCACCAGCTCATCAGGTAGATGCGGTGAGTGCTCTTCGGAAGGCTTGGAGCATCTGTTAAGGGTTATACGGGGGTATATAAGGTTTAGATAGGGTTATGTAGGAGTTATATAGGGATTATAAGGAGGAGTGCGATGTGAGATTTGCTTTGTGATGTATGTCTGGGTGCCTTGTCAGGTACGGGATATCCTGGTGTCAGACAGCCGCCCGGCAGCGACACGTTGCTCTTGCCACACTTAACTCATCAAGCTACTTTCAATTTCACAGAAGCCTTCAGCATCAGCTGCCAGAATGGTGAGGTGGCGGATTTGCATTCGACAACTCGCCCTAGGTCATTCGACGGGTTTTCCCGAAGACTTCACTGCGCTGGCCAGGCTCTCAGAGTGTGGACTAGCGCCTGCGCTGGTGAATTTCAGCAATCGTGATACGAGCGATTCGAGCACTTGAATGAACTGGGTATGCTAGTTGTTCAAGAGACAGGTTCGCATCAAGCAGATAGATGCAACTGAAGTAACCTGAACCCTCGTGATTCAAGGGGGATGGACTCAGCAGAGCAACCTGCCGCTCTTACTGGTACAGTTGCAGATCTGCTATTGCCATTAGCGAGCTCAGGGGCTACCTTAACATACATCCCCTCACATGCTCTCTGCTCGAGGTGATTGACGATGCTCGTATTCCAATTCTGTCTGTGACATCGGGGAGTCAGGTCTTGGTGCCTTGATACTGCATTGGACACCGGACACTCCAGCTTGCTGTGCGGTCCGATTGTGGGTTTGAATGGCGGACATGGATGCCATCAGAAATGAAATGTTACTAGTGGAAATCTGCTCAAGCTTGAAGTCCCACGGCCGACATCTTTTTCTGGCTGGCTTCTCTGAGGTAGACCTGGCAATAAACTCCTACCACGCCATCCAGCATGTACCTGTGCTGCATTTCACAGCTCTCATGAGAGAAGTAGTACGTTGCTTGATAAGGGTGCGCTTATTCTTTGTCATGACTCGCTTGCTCTTGTGCAGGTAAACTGGTTTCATCGTGTTGGGGCGGTGCCCCCGAATCCCCCGACCGACCGGGCCCTACGGCAGTTCTTACGTTCAGTAGAGCATGCTGTGGCCACTTTGTGTCGCAACATGCGCATGGACTGGAAGATATGCTTCAGGTGGTCCGTGTGCCGGTGTTGACCGTGACGCTGCGCTGCCTTAAGTGGTGGCTCAGGACAGCTCAACAGTGGAAAGGAACATGCCGCTGCTCTATCTAGTTTGCTGCCCATTTTGGCCTGCCTAATATGGTTGCCCTTGCCTCCCTGAAAAAGAGTCTCTCGGGGTGCCCTGTTTGTTTCTGACAGCAAGCAACCTTTCAGGATGAGACGAATACCGCGAATGAAAGATGGCTCGCTGCCAACAGTGGCGTGGATGCTTCTGGGAATGCATGTTTGCGCGGAGCAAAGCGGCTTCTCGGCCTCCTTCAGCTTCAACAACGGACTTTTGAATTCAGAAACCGTGGCCACGTTATACTGTTCCATTATTAGGACATTTCTGTCACATCATCATATTATGAATAATCTTGCTAGTATGATACTACAGGGAAGTAAGACAGACACCTTGGCCATCGTGTAATTTAGCACTCTCTATACATCTAACGATACCCTGGTACATCGCACCACTCGCTCCCCTTTTGGAATGTGAAAGAAGCTCTACCGAAACCGAGTGCAGTCCATGAAACGCCAGGTCAATTATCCTAAACCCTAGACCCTAAACCCCAAATACCAGGTCAATTCATTCCAGCAAGCTGGACAATGGGCTGCATGCCAGTTTTGTCGGCATCCTCTACCCTTACCTTAATACTGGAAAAGAAAATGGAAACTACTATGATGGGATTATATAGGGTTTAGGGTTTAGGGTAATATATAGGGAGCATGGAACCCTCCAGGGTTTAGACTAATATAGGGATTTCTGCTTGAACTGGATGGAAGTCGTCTTCGAAGACTTCCCAACTCTTATACGTCAACCAAGTCCTGTATGGCTGTTTCCGTGAAAAGGGAACCCCAATAGAGTCACACAGGGCATCCCAGAAAGGGCCCCCCCATTTTTGCGGAAGCTCCTCGAATCCTAAGCTCTAAACCCTAAAGCACCCATATCGGAACATGAACACCTGAAGCATAAGGATGCTTCTCACCGGAGCTCCTCTCGGACAATCCCATGGCGGCGGTGCTTTCGCTTCTGAGTGAACCGGCCTGCTTCAGAAAGGGTTTAGGATGGTTTAGGGTTTACCTAAGCCCTATAGTCCCAATTAAGTAGACAGAATATGGCTTTGGGTATATGGTAACAAGATCCCCATATACCCCATATTCTATTCACTTAAGGGGACTATAAACCTTAAGCCCTAAGTTTAGGTTTTGGGGTCTGGGCTCTGAACGCGAACCCCTAAGTCTAGGCTTTGGGGTTTAAGGTCTGGGCCTTGGGTTTTGATATTGCTTTTGGGTTTCAAGCCCATGTGGCGTCCTGGGGGGGTCCATACCTAAGGTAACCTAATTGGGGTTGTGCCCTGAGGAATCTGCAAGATGGAAGTTGGTGAAGAGTCCTGTTACCTCCTGGTTCTCAGTAGGGAATAAGGGAATATAATCCCTACATAATCCCCGTACATTTTATTCCCATAATATTACCTACTAAGAACCAGTAAGATTATTAAGAGGGTTTCAGATGGCCTGCTGGGTTTTGGAAGCCGCGTCTTGTGGTTTTGGTGTGGGAATTCAGGAATTCTACTTGCCATGGTTCGGTCGTGATCATGTTGAAGAGCTTGCTGCTGTTCGAAATTCCAACTGATTGGACTTCTACATTCTAGAGTCTGAGTTTTCCCAGGTGTATTCCCCATAGCCATCCTTGTAGGGGTATCGTTGCGTTTTTGCATTTGAGATCTGTCCTGCAGTCTCATTTGGTTTCCTTAAATAGGGGCACCGCAATATGTGTTATAGTCCTTATTGCAGGAACCCCCAAAAAGGTATCCCTAATTTGGGGAAACCACATTCATGGACCTAGCGGGCTATGACGCTGCAGATCTAAATTGCTGAAGTTGCTTCACATGGAGCGCCGAGCAGCCCTTCTGTTCGACATGCGTATCCATGCGCCGTCAGCCCCAAATGAGCAGTAGTCTAAACTTCCTAAAGGGACCTTTATAGGGTATAATGTAGGGGAGTGTTATAAGGGTCATTAAGGGGGATACTTGGTGTTTAGACTATAGTTCCAATACAAGTCTTCAGTGCCAGGCCGGGCGCTCCGAAAACCTGTACACCCCGTCACTTTATCTCAAAAGGCCGCACCACACGCTGTTGCTGGCATAGTACACCAACAAAAATAGCCATGGTACCTCAGATCTTATGCTTCCCTTCTCCTGGGAGAAACCACCATCCAGGTCATCATTACTATCATTATCAATTTTTCATTTTCATAGGTACCCCGAAAAGGGGACCCCTAGTTGAAAAAAACCTCCAAATGGCTACGGTACCTCAAATCTTATGGTTGTTCCTTTTGTGAACCACCATTCAGGTGCCTTCTTCCAGAGATACACAACGGTCAGCGGGCTGGATGGAAAGCTGCAGTTTGAGTGCCGTGCTCAGAACCTCGCGAATGGATCATAATAGTAATAGTAGTGACAATCGTAGTTGCTCAGTAATAAACGTAAACATGGAAATAATAGTAATAACAGCAGTAATAGTAATGACTGCAAAAAGTCCACAACAGAAACGCTGACATCTCTACAGCCACCGTGTCTGTGCTCCTGTTTCTTGCCACATGGTAGTTTCCCTAAACAGGGGGACCCCAAGATTGACAACAAAATACGGTAATCCATATGACAGAGACCCGGAAAAGGTATCCCTAATTCTGGGAAACCCGAATCCTCATATTATATCCCTATATAGCCCCACATAACCCCATATGCGTGTACATATATATATATATATATCCTCCCATAATCCCCTTTAAAGGTACCTCTAATTTTGGGAAGCCTCCAAACCATAAACCCTATACACCATATACACCCCTATATAATACCAGCTTTCGGTTCATTTTCCATCTTTTCTTCCATTTGATTCTCCACTATTTGGGGATAAATCTCCCTAAGCCCTACCCTAAACCCTAAACCCTAAACCCCAAAACCCTAAACCCTAAACCCCAAAACCCTAAACCCCAAAACCATGATGTTTTGGGGCAGGAAAGGCTCCGCAGTGTCAACCTTCCAGCAGAGCTTCCAAAAGCGGCCTTGCCACGCCGATCTCATTGTACTTGACCCCGAGTCAGGCTGAGGGTTTAGGGTTTTGGGGGGTTGGGGGGTTTAGGGATTTAGGGTTTAGGGGTGTGGAGGGTTAAGGGGGTTTTAGGGGTTTAGGGTTTAGGATTTAGGGATTTGGAGGTTTAGGTTTAGGATATAGGGATTTGGAGGTTTAGGGGCTTAGGGTTTAGGGATTTAGGGAAGTGGGGGTTTAGGGTTTAGAGTTTTAGGGCTTGGGGTTTACTGTAGGGTTTAGGAAGAGCTTTTCTGTAGACTCGAAAGATTTGAAACCAGAGATTTTGGAGTTGATCAAGTCATTGAGTGCCAACCTTTTGGTAGGTAACTTTGGGGATGACTTCTGCATGGAGCCAATGAATGTCAAAGGTTTAGGGTTGTAGGGTTTGGGGTTTAGGGTGTGACCATTGACGGTAGGTTAAAGGCTTCTTTCTCATCAGCACAAGTTGATGGCTGTGCATTTAAAATCTTGCCGAGTATGGCAGGGCAGAGCAGACTTTTGCAGAATCCTCCTTTTTGCTGGGACAGGTTCTGACCAACCTGAGCTTTGATGTGTGATTGCCAGCCTTGTGCAGATGTGAACTTGGCACCACCAATGTCGCCGGCAACCCATATTCTTCTTGTGCATGAGCTTCTTCGTGCAAGGCAGGGTGGTAAAGTCAGCATCCTCCATCTGTGCACGTTCACATCTTTTGAGTTCAGCGGGCAAAGATTTGGGGAGCGAGCTACCAAGTGCGGGAGGTCTCTTTTGAAGAGTGTGATGAGTACCGGACAGTGCCAGCATCTCCACTCGGTTTTTCAGCCGGTGCTGCCGCCTTGTTCTTGATGACAGGGCTTTGCTGAGCGATGGGCACATGCAATAGAAGCTTACCTGAAAGCAAGAGCACCAACACTACCTTAACAGCAGTTGTAAGACTCTCCACCATGAAATGTCAAAAGATCCTTGCTGGCGAGCTCAACGTAACTTTAGACGCATACAAATTTCGAATGCTCAAGTACAGCAAATTTGTTCACTTGCACTGGGCCGCAGCAAATTCAAGCTACACACCCCTCTATCACGCTATTTTTCAATACGTTTTCCGTGGATTCTCCATTATGGGGCAAGATCCCGAATTCTATATACCCTTATATACCCTGATGCAACCCTATATACATACATATATTTATGTTTATTTGTATGTATGTTTGTATATATATATATACATACACGGTAGCCAGGTGCCAGAGTTTGTGAACTCACTGCCCGCCACCGCTTCCGACAGTTTTGATGCGCTGGCCACTCCCTCAGTTCCGCAGGGCATGCGCCTGGCAACGATGATCATGACGAGAATAGTAACAATAGCGATAACTGAATAATCATAGTATTAAGAAAAATCATGACCGTCCTAATATCCAAATATCTAAAGTACATGTTCTTTTTAAGTGTCGTAGATATCAGCCTCTTCCGTGCACTGGAATCATCCAAGCAGGAAGTGCACTGGTCGGTCTTGCCATCCTGATCTCCTCCTCTGCCCTACTCCTAATTCTTGAGGCTGCTACCCATTTAGAGGCCCTAAACCGGCCTTTGGTTAGCTAGGAATGAAGGAAGGGATCCTTATAGTAGCCCCTACATAACCCATTATAGTAGTTTTTATTTTCCATTCCTTCATTCCCAGCTAACCAAAGGCCAGTAAATTGATTCTTTGACACTTCTGTGCATTGCAAGACCCAAGGTATTCTTGGGTGGGAATGGCGACAGCTCATGTACAGTGGCTGCGCCGCATCAAGGGGAGCCTTACGCCCGACAATCGTACGGTCTTCAGGGTTGAGGGCTTGGGGTTAAGGGTAATGGAAGCTTGTTTCCCAGGTGAGTGGTATTTTATTTGGAGGGGACATGGTGATTTAGTTCAAAATATTACGAGTGAATCGCATGCACTCGAAATTCAACGCAACGAGGGTGCAAGGGCTTCGCAACCTGAAGCATCATTCGCTGCAGTTGAGAGATACGCACCACTTGTGCAGCCCCCTGTTGCATTTCCAACCAGGACAAATTGGATTGACCTGGAATGGAAACCGCCTAACTCCTCGTGGGCTTTTCACGAATCGGGTGCTTCCTTTAAGGATTACTGCGTCCTTTTCTCCTTTTGGAACAAATTTACTACAGTCCATTACCCGGGAGCCGCAGTTTGTCAGAATTGGACTATTGCCTTACTCACTTTCATGCAAGCTTGGGGAAATTTGGCATCCTTTGTGCATAGATGCCCCAATCTCGGTACCATTATTTGGAAGTTTCGTAATCTCTCCATCTCTATGTTCTCTGAAGCCTGGCCCGATGAGCCGGACTTCGATTCTTTCAGTTTTGAACAATGACCAGATTCACTGGCATAACATATATTCGAATGTATTAGAATATATTGTAATCTACTATAATATACTATAATATCCAAAATTATTGGTGCCCACGTATGCCACCTGCCAGACCCTTTCCTAATAACCTTTTCCCGGCCTTTCAATGGGATCTAAGGGAAAAGTGCGTGCAATTGGTTGAGCTCCCAACACAGACTGCCATTAGGAAAAACATACAATACAAGCATCACTTAGTTGAACTTCCACAATTCACTGCCTTCTTCCCCTACTTAGATCCTTCCTTACTTGGAGGGTCAGGGGGACTTAGTAAGTAGGTTAATAACCCCTATAACACATATAACACTCATATGGTAACCCTTATTATCCCCATTATTAGCCTACTTACTAAGTCCCCTTGACCCTCCAAGTAGGAATGATCCTCTGAGCCTCCTTTGGATTGGCAGATGCCGACGAAAAACCAGACTGTTAAGATGGGGAATTTCTGCATTGCAAATCACCGATCACATGAGCTATAGTCTAAACTCCTTAAAGGGGGTTATATAGGGGATTATATAGGGAACTACTATAGGGGTTCTTAAGGGGGATACTAGGAGTTTAGACTATAGATCAAATGACTGTCAGATCGGTTGCAGCAAAGCCACTCTCCTTCTGGCTGAAATTCCATGCGATGGATATCAAAGCCCATATCTCTCCATTCAAATCTGCCACAAGAAAATTCTTGTGCGAACAGAAATTTTTCCTCTCGGTGCAGAGAGTCATCGGCAGACATCTTGAGGCATCGTGCCTTACTGGCTTGCCACTCTTGCCTCAAGTTGTCTGGACTGATGACATCCCCGTTTGCCTTGTTTTGCTCCAATCAATTGAATTTCATGCAGATTCCGCAAAAAATCGCAAAAGCTGTTGTCAGCCAACTTTCTTGCCAAAAGAGACGTTTCAGGACATGATGAGTGCTTGCAATGGGATTCTCAGAGATCTCAACACGATTATTTGCCGACTCTAACTTATTCTAGATTAGTTATTGGAGGAGCCAACGTGCTCAGCACTCGAATCTCATGACCGACTGATGTCCGTGAATAATATTACGGTACCCGATATAGAGTAAGATTCTATCCTCCTTTTGGGGTATAGTATTTAATATAGGGATTATAATCGTACTAGGTTCAACCACCAAAACAAACGCTACTCAGGTGGCCACAGACTTGTTACCCCAAGTACCGAACGACTCAACCTCAGACCCTGAACCCCAAACCGTGAACCCCTACTTGGAGGGTTAGGGGGCTTAGTACATATGCTAATGCCCCCTATAACCCATATAGTATCCCCAATAATCCCCACTCTTAATCTACTCACTAAGTTCACCTGACCCTCCAAATACCCGGTTCAGTTGGAGCGTGTAACCCTAACCTAAGCCTTAAACCCCAAACCCTAAACCCTAACCTAAGCCTTAAACCCTAAACCCGAAACCCCCAAACCCCAAACCCTAAAACCCGAAACCGCAAACCCTAAACCCGAAACTCCAAACCCTGAACTCTAAACCCCTAAACCCGGTCTAGGTGGAGCTTGTCCGCATTCTGAGCATCCAAAAGCTACCCTGGTGGCAAGCGCCTTTCCTGGCTCGCTGGGACATGCAGAGCCGCCTGGAGGTGCATCGCTTTTTTAGGGGATTAGGGTTAGGGATTAGGGTTTAGGGGTTCGGGTTAAGGGTTAGGGTTTACGGCTTAGGGGTTAGGGGTTAGGGGTTTAGGGGTTTAGTGTTAAGGGATTAGGGGTTTAGTGTTAAGGGATTAGGGTTTAGGGATTAGGGTTTAGGGTTTAGGGATTAGGGTTTAGGGATTAGGATTTCGGGCTAGGGTTAAGGGATTAGGGTTTAGGGTTTAGGGGATTCTCTAGGAATCATGTAGGGATGGATTTGAAAGTGATTATAAAGGGATAAAGGGGTTATATAGGCGATATATGGGGCCTATAGGGCTTATCTATAGGGAACATATAGGGATCATCTAGGGTTGTATAATCATAAAAGGTTTAGGGTTTAGGGTTTAGAGGATTCTATAGGAATCATATAGGAACCATATGGGGTTATATGGGATTATATGGGGTTGTATGGGGTTATATAGGGTTCAACAGGGATTATGCAGGAGTTATACAGGGATTATGTAGGGTTATGTAGAGATTACATAGGGTTATTATATGGGGTTATATGGGGGTTATATGGGGCTATTTAGGGTTATATAGGGTTTAGGATGATTGAGAATCAAATGAAAAAGAAACCGGACAATGAAATGCAATTGGGACTGTACTGGGATTGTCTCAGGGTTTATAGGGATTGGATTATATGAGCGACTGCCTATATTAGGCTTACCAAGGGCCAATTGCACGGCGGACATAGGGGTACCTTTGATAGTTTAGGTTAGTATTGTCCCCATATATTGCTCAATAAGGCAATAAGGAACCCATGTCCATTAGATACGTGGGGAAGGTGACTGTAGCTCATATGGAGGAGACGAAGAAGCGGTAGGGCCTACCGAAACATGGCACACGCGGTTTAGGATTTAGGGTTTACGGAGATCCTCGTTGAGCTGAATGAGTAGCAGTCATCATCGTCGTCGTGGCAGGAATTCAGAATGCTGAGATTGCGAAACGAGCCTAGTACCAGAGCGCCCTTCCTCACAGCGCATACGGAATATTGCTGGACCGACGACTTTTCAAAAGCGAATCCTGTAGGAATTTCTGCAATGCAGCAAAAGAACGCCATCAAACCCCGCGCATAAGTCCCAAATATCCAAAACCCCAAGCCCTACCCTCCCGGAAACTAACATGGAAACCCAAGAAGGGTCCTATAAAGACTACAGTCCCTTTAAAAGGGGGCTATATGGGTTTCCATGTTAGTTTGGGGGAGTGTAGAATGATCCTCAACCTTAATGTTGGAGTCTGACTAGTGTGGGCGCCCCCTCCCCAACAAAAAGGGTAGTCTGGAATAGAGTCATCAACACGAATCGGGGGGATTGGCGGATCCTACGGCTCCTATTAAATTCAATAAGGGAAGAGGGATCCTTTGGCTCTGTGGCTTCTATTGAATTCATAAGGATGTGCTCAGTTTAGCTTTCAAGAGAATATGAAGAGCAGGGTCCTGGGCCTTTATTTTAAAAGGCCTGGCCTTGAACATCTATAATGCATTGTAACCAGAAATCATAGAAACATAAAATCAATCGACATCAGTCAGCATCAATTAGAAATCCAATTTGAAACAGTTAAACGCACATTGGAATGGCCTCACACTTAACCCGGACAAACAAGTTTTACATTATTTAGCCACCCAAATCGTTTGTACTATTCAAGGTCATGGGCTCTTCTGGACTACCCCCATTTGGAATTCGATTGCCGAGCCGGTTCGAAAAAGCGGTTTGATAAGAAATCGATTCTTTTTGGTGGCCTCAAATTCCAGATTCGAGAGGTAATAGA